AATATATATTGTTTGATTTATTTTTAGAATTTTTATTGATAAATTTTATTTAGAAGTGTCTTAATCCAATAAGTTTATGAAATTTTTTTTTTAATCCAATTATTCCCATGCAAGGTTTTAAAAAGCGGTCGCAACCGTTGCGTAACGCCGTTACGTAGCGGTTTTGGCGGTTACCGCCACCCGTTACAGCCACTTTTGCAGTGTGATTGAGATTCACAGGTGTATCGGTCGTAGTGGCTGCCATAACGGTCGTAATGGTGCCGTAACAGCCGTAACGGCCTGTTACGTACCGTTACATGACGGTTCCAAATTGTTTCTTTCGAAAAAACACACAAAAAAAAGTTGAAAATGGGAGAAGAGGGATAGAGAGAAGAGGGAAGATAAAGAGAGAAATAGAGGAGCAAGAGATAGAGAGAGAGAGAAGAGGGAAGATGAAGAACATGTTATTGATTTGTTGAAACTATAAGACCTATGCTATTCTATTCAGCTGCTATCACTAAACCATTTTGTTGGTGTATGTCTATCTATATATTGTTTGAAAATAATAATAATAATAAGTGTGGTTATTATCTATTTGGCTTGGTTAAAATATATATATATATATATATATTTAGACTCTTATTTATTTTCTTACTTTTGTCATTATTTATCTTATATATAATAGTTAGTGATTAATTTTTTGTAAAATATAAAGTCATTAATTATTAAAATAAAATGTAAAAAACTCAGTTTATAGTGATTTAAAAATATGAAATATATTGGATCATACATAAAAATTTATAAAAATTGATCAATATTTATTTTTAACCCAATAAATATGATCATTGAAAAAAAATATGCGTATCAGTAAGTTTTTTTCAAATTGTGTGAAAAATAAAAAAATTCACGGTTTCGGTTACCGCAACCATTACACTATGGCCTTTACACCCCACAACCGCAACCGCGTCACCGCAACCGCGTCACCGCCACCGTTACGGCGACTGCAACCGCTTTTCAGAACCTTGCTCCCACGTATTTATACTTTTATTCCATAAAGTTCTTTTTCTTAATTTACATTATTGATAAATTTCATTTATACTTTTATTACATTATACTTACATTATTTTCTTACATTATTTTCCATAAAGTCCCATGTGGAGAAGGGAAAGGACCAAGGCATAGGAAATTTTATATACAAATTAAATAACATTGATGTTATTATTTTATATTATCATATAATATGAATATATTTTTAATTGGCGACACATTGAAATAATGTGAACATTCTCTCTCATCTGATGTGAATATATTTTTAATTAACAATACATTAAAAATAATGTGAACATTCTCTCTCATTTGATGTGAACGTTCACAACACGTTTCTAAAAAATTCTCTCTCATCTAATGTAGATATAAATGTTCACAACATGTAATATTTTTAATTGACAACACATTCTTATTCACAACATGTAGTAATGTGAATGTTTACATTCGTATATTTTAGTATGAATATTCACATTCACATCATGTAATTGACAACACAATGAAAAAAATTCATTATGCTGCTGTTGGTCTGCCTGTAGTCTGCCTTATACGGTTGTGTGTAGTCTGCCTTATGCTCTCTTCTGTGGTCTTTTCTTTTCTTTTCTCTTTTGGTTCCTCTATTGGTTTCTCACCAATTTAGGGCCTTGTGCTACCTGCTCTTCTTTCTTTGTTGTTGTAAGTTTGTATGTTATACTTGCTTCATCAATAAAGTTTTCTTTTGTTGATAAAAAAAAAAAACAATGAAAAAAATTCATTTCAAATTAATGTGAATATAATGATGTGAATATTTATTTCAATGACATGATGTGAATATTCACATCATATAATTGACAACACAATGACAAAAATTTATTTTAAATTAATATGAATATAATGACAGTCAACATTCTGATATATGGGAACTACCAATACATAATAACAATCAACATTAATAGAAGGCATGAGAGATTCGGGGTGTTTTGGTCTTCTTGCCTTAAATAGGATCTAATAGAATAGTCAAAAAAAAAATATGGGTTAGATGGAATAAAACTCTTAAAAAAAAGACTTATCAAAAAAACTCTCATTATTTTTTAATAGCTTAAGTTTTGAAAACAATTAGTGATTTAATATAGTATTAGAGTCACTAAGAAATAATATATATAAATATATGTAAGAGCCCTAGTTCTAAGAGGTTTTGGTTCAAATATCGTTTACCCTTATTTTTGTCATTGTGCAATCAATTTGTTCCTCTTTATGTGCACTCAATTAGTTGTCTCTTTTCTGTTCACATGTGAATCAAGAATTATATATATGTAAGAGAGTGTGTTAATTTGATAAACAACATTATTGGCTTAGAACAATTCTAATAGTGAAAGCCTTGGCTTGCTAGAGTTTAAAAAAAAAACTATTTTTAAGCTTTAGTACTCTAGTGGCTCCCATGCTATTTTGGCATTGTTAACTCCCGTGTCAATTTTTGATCATTGAATTAAAAAAGTATTTTTTAATCATTGAACTAAAGAAGTATTTAGGGATATGATTGGCCTTTCCTGATGTAACAAATTTGAGAAAGCCAACTCATGTCAAATTTGGCACATCATTGGAGAGATTTTTATGAGGGTATAGCTAAAAATGAATTAGGATAAAGAATTTGGCACTACATTAAAATATTTTTATATTTTAATAGGTTAATATTTTAAGACAATTGGTAATCTAATGAAAGATATGACTATGTTGTTCAAGTTGTAATTGTCAAAAAAATTCCACACAAAAGTGAATGGAATGCAGTGTTGCCATTCATCGTAACTAGTGAAGTGTGTGAGTCCTCCATGGTAAATACAATGTTGCCGACATTGTATTTTGTACACTTCTCTATTTTTTTTTGGTGTCCCTTACTATTTTAGTTACACAGAAGAGTGCATGGTAATGTTTAGTTGTGCATGAATTATTCTCATGTTTGCATGCTCAATTTAGTGTAGGTGAAATAAATATTGAGTATAACAGAAATATTATATTATATGATATCATTAACTAATAAAAATAAAAATTGCATATAATAAGACACAACTTATTTTTCACCAATCCAACTGTAATATAAAGTGATACTATCACATTATATTATTACATATAATATATGAAATATATAAGCGTCGTGCCATATATTGTAAGAATATTCATAAGATAAAAGAATATAAGAGTTTTCAAAAATTTAAGAGGCTAATGTTGGATATAGATTACAAAAATATTGATAAACCAAAATAGTAAATAGTTTTTTTAAGAGACTTAAGGAGCCTATTGCCAGGGCCTTGGTTATTTTTAAGTACTCTGTGCGGCATGCTCACAAGCCTTACTAACGAAATTAAGTCAGTCTAACTCACAAGTTTTCAAGAAAGAAAAGTAAGCCTTGAGATTAAGTCAGTTTAATTCCCAAGTTTGCAAGAAAGAGAAGTAAGAAGATAAAAGAGTTTGAGAAAATGCCTCTTGTATTCACTTAAGGAGAATTTGTATAACTCTTGGATGGATTAGAGCAAATGAGCTCCTCTCATATTTATATGATCCTTTGGATCACTCTAGAATACACAAGAAAGTAATATTTATATGATCCTTTGGAACATTCTAGAATACACAAGAAAGTAATATGTAGAAACTTCTCATGAAAACCTTTTTACAAGCTACAGGCTATTTTAGCCATAACAAACAAAACATCATATCCAACCCATAATCATTACATTCTTCTCTCACAAAAAAATTAAAAAAAGCCAAAAAGCCAAAAAGCCCTTCCCAAACCAAGCTTTTAAGCCCAGGCTAAAATAGCCAAAAAAGCTAAAAAGCCAAAAAGCCAACCCACTTCCCAAACGGAGGCGTATAACTCTTGGATGGATTAGAGCAAATGAGCTCCTCTCATGTTTATATGATCCTTTGAAACATTCTAGAATACACAAGAAAGTAATATTTATATGATCCTTTGGAACATTCTAGAATACACAAGAAAGTAATATGTAGAAACTTCTCATGAAAACCTTTTTACAAGCTACAAGAATATTCTAAAGTGCCTTTTAGAAATATCTATAAGTCTAGTTACATGTGCAAGTGTGTATGCACTTGAATTATTTAGTGGCTTCTAAAACTCTCCTTGATTTCTCATGTGCTAGGTTTGTTAGGAAGTTCTAAATTATTCCATTGACTCCCATTCTTCCAAGCTCCCATTTAGATAAGATTTTTGCCATGGAGAATTTGGCAGGATGTAACACTATGGCCTCCTAGCTCACCCTTCTCATTCCTGCGTTGCAACTAAAATATTAGTTTAGCACTGCACATTTTATAACCCTTAGTTCAAAAAATCTACATAGTTGATCTATTTTAATTATTATAATTCCCTTAGTTTTTTTTAAATAATTGTTGTACCCAAGAAACTATATACTAAAAAAGAAAATAAATTGTGTTAACATTTCTGGTTCGTTAGGTGCAACACCTTTTGACCTTTGGGACTACACAAGAAAAGACATTCTTAAGTACTCTTAGCTTTTAAGCATTTTAAAACTTAAATAGCTGGCAAACCCCATGGGTCTATTCTAATGAATAATCAAAGAAGCAATCAAACAAAAGATGTTGAAGAGGTCAATGTATTGGGAGAAATTATAAATAATTTATTTTGTCCAAAACAAAAATCATCAACCAATCATATACCGACAAAAAAAAATAAAAAAATCATGTATTGAGATCATACAAAAATACATAAATAAATAAATAAAATTTCTGTAGGAGGATTCTTCATCACTTACTTCTAAGATGACTTCACATTGCTTCTAAGATGCCTTTCATATATGTATATTTTTTTGGGGTTACTTATAAAATATTTATCAAGTATTATTGAATATTACTTATTTTTGACCCAAAAAAAAAAATAATTTATTGAAATGCACAAAGAAAATATACCTTATACTGCCTAAAAAAAAAAAGTTTTCATAAAAAAAATACAAAAAAATCTAGGCAAGAAAGCATTAGATGCGGAATATATATATTTGAGACAAAAATTCGTAATTATATATGCGAGCATTATGTTCTCAATTATAAATGTGAACATTTTATAAAGCAAAGCTGAAACATAAACCCCATCCCCCACAAACTGGAGTCTTAAAATCTAAAAAGTTGAAACCATCTTTCAAACCCTAATCCTTCAAATCTTCATATTGTACTCAAGAGTCAACATCACAGTTCAGTAGTACATGAGTTTCTCCTCTCTCTGGTTGTCATCAACATAGAAATTCATGTTGTTATAGATATTAGTATTAGTATTAATAAGCTGCTTAATCTCCTCAACACTACTGTAATCTATTGGAGTTTCACTTTCACCACCATAGAACAACCCATTATTAGCATTACCACCACCAACACCACTAGAAACCATGTATTTTAGGTTTTCACCAACTCCATTGTACAGATGGTAGTAACTCTGCAAGCCCATATGTCCACCATAATCACTCTCCATCTCTCTTCCATGGCTGATCTGGTTGTTGCTGTTGAAACTCCCATCAGAAGAACTGCAACTAGCAGCTTCACCGCCAAACAAGAGATTGGGACTCACATAGACCTCTTGGGCTTGTAGAACAGTACTATTAGCAGTAGAACTTGATGGGATTGAAAAGGGTTCAAAATCATAGCCTATGAAAGAGCTGGTTTGGGTGTTGTGGTACTTGTATGATGATGATGATGACAGTGGAGAGGATGGTGATGGTGATGGTGATGATGATGAATTATGATGAAGAAGTGAAATGAATGGGTAGGTTGTGGGTTGGTGATGATGAGGTCTTCTCTGATTGGGCGAAGAAGGAACAATCCCAATTCCAATCTTCATGAGTTTCTTCTTGAGCTTGGTGTTCCAGTAATTCTTGATATCATTGTCAGTCCTGCCTGGTAACTGAGCTGCTATTATTGACCACCTGCAAAGGGAACAAAAGAAACAAATTCCATAAGAAGAAGATAATAAACAACTGGCATAAATTTTGTAACTGAAAAGTGAGTGCATTCATGAGAGATCATCCAAACTTGGCATGCATGCATAGCATATAGCACCACAAAAATTGTCCACATATAGTAGATTCTTTTTGTTAGAATTATTGAAGGTATTCAAATCCAAAACCAATTTGAAATGTTGCTCATCTTTATGTTACCTTCACACCCAATCGAGCCACATGTACAGAAGTGTTGGAGACTTGGCCACCTTCAATTCATATAATCTATAAGTCCCTTCACCTATTGTCAATTGATTTTTGGTTGAATGCCTCTAATAATCTAACACTTTTGATAAACAAAATCTTTCAAGATCCTTTGTGTTTTTTAAAGGAAAACTCTATTTATACAGAAAATATATATAGAAAACATCATAACAATGATGAGGCAGTGACAGTCTTGCAAATAAAAGCCATTTCATGGTTGATTTGCTTTAAAATGAAAAGTTCACATTGATAATTTTTTATGATAATTCTGTATAATTTTTTTGTTTATGTAAATCATTATTCTTTCCTAAATTGTGATTTTGTTCATTCCTTTATGGTTGTACTTCCTTAGTGGTTGCAAATTTGGTATCGAAGCCATGTTAGCTTAAATTCTTTGTTTTTGATTCTCCATATATCCATATGAAAATCCTCACTTTGGAAAGAAATTTTGCTCATGAAGGGAACAGGTTTTGGAGAGGACTCCACTTTTTTTTCCCAAGAAAAGAAACAAAAAAGGAAAATACTTGATGATTATATGGTTGGATACATCTGTGTGTGAAGAAAATATGAAAAGGAACCCAATTTAATTTGGGAACAAATTGGAGAAAGTTTGAGATCAGAAAAAAAAAAATGGAATCAAATTGAAAGGAGATGATAGTACCTGCTTCCAATGCTAGCAAAGAGGGTGCAGATTATTCTGTCTTCATTATCAGAGAACTCTCCATGTTTAATGTTTGGCCTTAGATAGTTGAGCCATCTCAATCTGCAGCTTTTCCCACATCTTCTAAGGCCTTAAGAAAGTTAAACAAACAAGACCCATTTCAAGAACACAAAAACAAAAAAAACAAAAAAAACAAAAAATTAAGAGCAGCCCAACAAATTAAATCCATTTCTTGAGAAGGGATTTGATTTCTTTCAAGTATATATATATATAATTACCTGCTTTTTGTGGGAGAGCAATCCAATTCCCTCCAGTCCCATGCTTAATCTGCAGCTTTTCCCACATCTTCTAAGGCCTTAAGAAAGTTAAACAAACAAGACCCATTTCAAGAACACAAAAACAAAAAAAACAAAAAAAACAAAAAATTAAGAGCAGCCCAACAAATTAAATCCATTTCTTGAGAAGGGATTTGATTTCTTTCAAGTATATATATATAATTACCTGCTTTTTGTGGGAGAGCTATCCAATTCCCTCCAGTCCCATGCTTCTCTATATACTCTTTCAGCTTTGCATCTTCTTCAGGTGCCCATGGCCCTCTCTTCACATTTTCCTTGTCACAGCACGGAGCTCTTCCCATCTCTGTGTGTGTGTGTGTAACAAAGGTTCATCTAAAATGGGCTGAAGATGCTTGTGGGGAAGGTGGCTTTGTTTCTTTAGAAGACTTGGGTTTTTGGACAGAAAGCAGTATATATTTATTGTGAGATATACCCATGTCAAAGACACACCTCTCTAATTTCTTTTATTTATTTATTTAATTTTTGGTTGAAAACACCTTCAATAATCATCAGTTGTCTAGCCCCACTTTGCTAGCCAACAGAACTTTTCATCTTAAAATAAAAGATCAAATACACTTTATATCACATATAGCTTTATCTTTTATTTTCGAAAAATATTTTTAAATTAAAATACAATACTAATCCATTAATCAAATTAAAAAAAGAACTTTAATGACCATCAAAATGGTCTCACACCTTTCTAGAGATATAGGCCAAGCATATAGGCCAATATATTGGTGGAGCGGACTTCATGTGTATATTAATTTATATTAAAAAGTTAGGCATACATGATGTGTGTAAAAATAAAAGTTGATTGTAATTGTCATATGAAAAAAAAAAATAATGTATATAGAAGAAAAAATTAAAAAAAATCAAAATTAGAAATAAAAAACTTAGGCGTACAAGGTAGTTTTGATATTAAAAAAACATGTGACATAACTTCATCGAGTATATAATATAATAGATTACATAAAACACACACACCATAATATATAAGAGTTTTAGATATTAAATTTTTTTAACTCTAAAAGTGAAAATTTTGTTGTAAAAGACATTTAGAGACCAATTTTTATCGTCGTGAGGATAGTCGCCAAAAAGTCGTTCCGAAAAGTCAAAAATAAAGCTTTTAGTGATGAAATTTTGAAAATGTCACTAATAAATACACTTTTGGGGACAAAATAATTTGGTCTCAAAATGGTTTATTTTTTGAGACAAAAAAATTGGTCCCAAAAAGATAATAATTCATAACTAATATCCAATTTTCATTGATAAAAATATAATAACGAAAGTTTTAGCAATAAAAATATTTGATCTCTAAAAAATAATTTAGTTCCTAAATTATGGTCTCTAAAATCGTAATTTTGTGTAGTGACAACTTGGAATGTTTTGAAACTATGTCCTGCATTTTCTCATAAGCAACTATTCATTTTTTTTTTTTTTTTCAAATTTTGATTTCTCCAATTCTTCCCCTTCTATTTACATTTTATTTTTTGTTCTTATATGATAGTTTTAACCGTCATTTCTACACATTTATTGTGTGTGTCTACCGTTCTATTTAATCTATGAACTTTTCTCAAGTTCATATATGAACTTGATTGTCATGTTCGGACTTGTAAGGCCCACTACAGTACTTGTTTTAATAATTTTAATTGTTCATTTTGTAAAGTCCTTATCTGTGTATATAATATATATCATTCATAAAAAAAATTAAATCGATTTAATAATTATAATATTTTCATTTTATTACATTTATCTAAAAATAATACCTAATGTATTTTAAAAAACACACTTCTCAAATAAGCTTGAGCCGACTTTAAAAAAAAAGAAAAAAAAGAAGAACAAGCTGTTTTTTTTGGTCACCTATGCATGGTGTATTTTAATTTTACCAGATAGTTATGTGTGAACCTAATAGCCATGTGCCCATATTAGGAATGGCAACAGGTCGGGCCGGGGTCGGGACCGGGGCCCCCCGGCCCCAACCCCGATCCCCGACGGGGAACTTATCACCTCCCCCGCCCCCATCCCCTAACGGGGATCGGGTTTTCCCGACCCCGAAATATCCCTGACAGTTCTCAACACACACACACACACACACACAAGAACTGTTCAGATCAACAACCATCACCAACAGCAACAGATACATATATATATATATATATATATAACAACTTTAAAAAAAAAAAATGTGTTCATCAACACAAACAGACAACAACAGATGTATATATATAACTTAAAAAAAAAAATTGTTCATTAACAACAAATATGGAGAGAGAGAGAGAGAGAGAGAGAGAGAGAGGGCTTCTGCAGTTCTTCTTGGTCAAGGTCCTGTTCAGATCGATCCAGATCGGTAGCTTCACGGTCTGTTCAGATCGAACCACGATCTGTTTAGATTGATCCAGATCGGTAGCTTCATGAGATCGATCCTGGCCCAGTTTAAATCGGTGGCAACATAGGGCTTCACGGATGGACCACGGACAGTTCACAAGCGAGACGGAGAGGGAGAAGGGAGGGCTTTACAAGCGAGACAGAGAGGGAGAAATGAATGAGGAACAGAGACATGAGAGAAGCAGTGAGATGAGAGAGATGAGAGGCGTAAGTGAGGGAGAGAGAGAGAGACGGGGTGAGACAGGGAGAAATAAAAGTGTGATTAATGGATTTGGTTTTTATATATATATACCTAGGGGTAAAATAGTAATTTCATTTCGGGATAATCGGGGACGGGGACGGGGACGGGTCGGGACGGGGCTGGGACACATATCCCCGTCCCCGGCCCGAGAGTGATCAGGGATTGATTTTTAAATACCATCCCCGTCCCTGTGGGGATATTTTTCAGAAAAAAACTGCACAAATCGGAGTCGGGGGGTCGAGTCCCCATCGGACCGGGTTTAAATTGCCATCCCTAGCCCATATGTGTTGTCATATTCATGTACCTTAAATTAATTAATGTAAATTGTTGAATTTATGCCCCCCAATATTACTGTTTATTTCTTTCTTTTTTTTTCTTCTTGTTGGACCGTCACTCCAATCATCAATAAGGACACAATTTTCTGTGTCATTTCTATATATCAACCATATTCTACCTACATTTATCATATTATCAAATAACATAAATATATAACTTAGAATGCAAGATACACACACACACTTATATATATATATATTATTTATAAAGATGTTTGGGTGGAGTAAATATTAAATGTAATATTGATATTACGTAACAGTATCACCATCTAATGAGCAATCTTGATTTGCAATAAGAACCATCGCCTCCCCCCCTTTTTATTGATGTAAGCTCATATGTTGTATATTTGTTTTTATCAATAAAATTTCTTTTTTTGCTGATAATATATATATATATATTAGATTAGTGGGATATATAACTTATCTACTTAGTTCATTTTCGACTTTTTATTGGAGGATGACACCATGTAAGATAGTGCTACCATTAGACTCTCTTTTTTTTTTTTAACCTTTTTTTTTTACCTCGATGATGTAGAAAAAACATATGAAATGAATGAGAAAAAAAATGAAAATATAGAAAATTGAACAATTTTTACAATTTTTTGTTACTCAGAAATCTCAAAGACTTATTAGTATAACTCAATTTATTAGTAAACATTGTTTGGTGATCAAGTCACTATCTAACACAAAAAGGTTAACATATCATGACGAAGTGCTCCCGTCTATTGATGTTCGCTGTTTTGCAAAAGTGAGATTGATCTCCAACGATCTCTCCGCTCCTTCCTCACAATCGTTTTACTAAGAAGCAAATAGACTGGGTTCTTCCGATTTGGACGCCCGCGATCTGAGGTTGCTCTGGAGGATGGGATTGTCGATCTAAGCATGGAAGTTCTAGCAAAGATTCAGAGTTTGTTCTGAGCGAGGGTAAGTGATATGTGATTTGGGATTTGGGATTGGTTTTTGTTCTAGTTTTTTTCATTTTGGGGAATCAGAGGGCTGATCGTTGGTTTTGATTTGCTTAGTGAAAACTTCGCCCTCCACCTGTTCGATAAAATGCCTCAGTGAAAAATTTTATGGACTAAGGAGGAAATAGAGGTTGGACTCCAGTTGGGAGGCAGCGGAAAGGTGGAGAAGCACAAGACAAAGAGGTTATTCATGGACTGTATACTGTCTTTGTGGATAATTTACCTACAGTAACGGTTGCTAAATCTTTGTTCGATCTATTCAGAAAGTTTGGGATAGTGAAGAATGTCTTTATACCTGCCAAAAGAAGGATAGTGACAAACTCAAGATTTGGGTTTGTGAGATTTGATTGCCATATAGCAGCAGACATTGCCATCTAGAAAGTGAATGGTCTTTTGGTGGATGACATGGTGCTGGTAGTCAAAAAAGCTACTTCTGTCAAGAATATCAGAGATGAACAAAGCAGGAGTAGGCCTCAGATCTTCAGGAAACATGTTGAAACAAGCAGAAACAGGGTTGAAGCTTCTTTTGCGGGCCAAAGATCATTTGCTGAGGTACTTAAAGGGGTCTCACCCACTGTGGCTAGGAAAACAAATTTGAGCTTAAAAGTCAATGATGATGGCCATGATTGGCTCTATGATAGTGCAATAGTTAGGCTTAATACTGAATACCCCACTCACTACATTGAAAATGCCTTGCAGGAAAAATGGGTGGACCAAGTATTGGTCAGAAAAGGGGGAGGACGGGATATAGTTTTAACCTTCAAGTCTCAAGAGGAGTTGAAATCAAATATATGCAATATTAAGGAATGGTTTAAGGATTGGATTCAATTTGTGGTGGAATGGAAGCCAAGAGTTCATATCGAACAAGAGAGATGTGTGTGGTTGAGGTGTTATGGCATACCCTTAAATCTCTGGAATAGGAGCACATTCAACAGCATTAGAAGCCTATGGGGTTCAGTTCTCAATTTGGATGAAGAAATTTGTTAACCAAAGGTGTTCTCCCATACCAGAATCAGAGTGGTTACATCTTGTATGGAGTTTATAAACAAAACTATAGTATTGGAGTGTAAGGGTAAACTCCATCCAATTCTTGTATGTGAAGATCTTCTATCAGACTCTAGTAACATGAAGCACAATGGCATGGAAGAATGTAATTCCAACGACATCTGTGGCAATGAAATGAAAGGAAATGTTCCAGAGGAGTGTTGCAAGGAAAAGGAAGAAACTGTTGAGGTGGTAGGAGCCAAAGTACACAGCCCAAACAGTGGAATGGTGGTAAACACAGTTGTTGAGGAGACAAAATGGGATGTAGGCTTCAGCAGAGAAAATGAAGCATGTACCAAGGAGGTTGAACAAAGGAAAGGGCCTATTGACTGTCACTCGGGAGAGGAGTCAGCGGAATCTTTGATGGAGGAGTCAGTGCATAGTCCAAAAAGTCAGGTGCAAGTCTCTACACCTGGAATTATCAGAAGCCTTAGTGGACCTAGAG